CAAGAACATTTTACTTAAATCTCAGAGTTATAAAATGGTATTAGAAAGATGAGCCTATAAAGGATGGAAGACCCTGGTCAAAGATGCTAAAGCATAGTATATATATGACAATGTTAAAAAACACCTAACTCTCTGTAGGAAAATCAATAAAAATAAAAACCTATCTGAAACAAACAAAAAGTATTTCACAAAGTATAGTCTTTATAGATGAATTCAAGAGGCAATTCTACTCTCTTCTATACTGTCATTATGAGTAGGATTTGACACAATGGAAGTGAGTTTCATTTTAGTTTTTATAGTAAATATCATAACATATATAATTTGTAACAATAGTAATAAACAATATTTGAATAAATGTATAAGTAGGTATGTATGCTAATTAGATATAGGAGGTTATACAGGACTATATGAATTCAAAAATACATCTTGAGGAAAACATTTTTTAAACTATGTACTTTTTGAATATGCATACATCAAACCTGAAATGTTTGTTTTCACTTTTTCCTTCACTGGCAACTTTTGAGGTATTTTTAGGTTTGGGTTCCCAGAGGGTGTTTTTGACAAATCTCACGGCAATGCTTTTGCCCAGCTTGCTGGCCTTCGTCTTGTATTTTATTTCCTTGACTCTGTTCATGTACTCTTTAATTTGTTCCAACTTCTGCTTTACTGCATATTTGTTGGGCTTCACTCCCTTAGTTGTCAAATAAGCCCTTGAGTTTAATGTGTAGACAGAAAGTAAACCCACTGTTGCTTTTTCAAGGGGGGCCAACTTCTACAGCAACTCATTTCAAGAAACAGACATCAGCTTCTCCAAATTGGCACTAATGGAATTCTCGAATTTCAATAAATAGTCATGGATTTCCATTGAGCAGTCTTCACTGATGTCTTCACTTGCTGCCATTATGAGCAACTTATTAGCCTTAGCTGCCATCTCAGAATCCTCATATTTATAAGTTAATGCCCCATAAGTACAGATTAAATTTAAACACCCAAAGTCAATTATTATGGAAGCAAATTCAACTTGGGTGTTAATCTCTGCGTTGACATTCCTTAAATTTTCCTACAAATTATATTACACAAGGATGTGTGTTGGTATCATTGAAGGGACTTGAAGTGAATTGTCAACCTACTGAGTTGTTTGGAAAGGGCTCTCGAATCAGAAGTATTAATATTACCAAGGATGGGAAAGGGAAGGAGGAGAATCACTTATTAATTAGTAGATGCATGTTGATGTTGATAAAGGGAAAAGCAATACACGACATAAGTGAAATTAGCACAATGTGGCCAAGACAAAGAAGATACTAAGAGGTGTGCAAAACTAAAGGACAACCACAATAGATACTGAGGAACCCTGGTGATACAGTAGGTTACTTATTGGGCTGCTAAAGAAAGGGTCAGCAGTTCAAAACCACTAACCATTCCTGGGGAGAAGGATGAGGCTTGCTATCCCCATAAAAATTTCTGGTCTCAAAACCCCACAGGGGCAATTCTACTCTCTTCTATATGGTCATTATGAGTTGATTTTGACACAATGGAAGTGAGTTTAGTTTTTGTTTTTATAGTAAATATCATAACATATATAATTTATAACAATAGTAAAAAAAATTTGAATACATATATAAGTAAATATGTATGCTAATTAGATATACGAGGTTATACAGGACGATATCTATGTCAAGTATAGGTAAAATTGTGGATATGTCCACATACCTATTTGTATGTACTGCATGTATATTCATACATATAGTAGAGCATATGGGAGAATGGTTATGGAAACTCCTTATATATAACCAGACACCTCACAGGTCTGAGCTACTGAGCTTGAAGGCTAAATAAAGACCACAGTTTCAGGGGACATCTAAAACAATTGGCATTGCATAAAGACAATGTCCTATACCCCAGTTTTGTGAATAGCATCTAGGGTCTTAAAAGTGTGGAGAGTTATCTGAGACACAGCTAACGGTTTCTTCCTGTCCCAAGCAAAGGAGAATGATGAAAACCAAAGACTCAAGGAATCAATTAGTCCACCGGACTAATAACCCACATGAATCATAGCCTTCTCTAGCCTGAGACCAGAAGAATTAGATGGTGACTAACTACCACTAACTACCATTCTGACCAGGAAAAAATTGTAGAACAAAACTCAAATTCATTGAAAAAAGATCACACTTCAGTCAGACAGAGACTGAAGGAACCCCTGTGTGATAGGTTGGTTTATTGTGCCAACCTGGCCAATAGGAACATGTGGGGTGAATAAGTTCACAGTTTGATTGGAGGACAAAGAGATAAATGACTCGGTAAGGCCCATCCCTCTCTCTCTCTTGCTCTCTGGTGATCTGACCAGCGTAAGCTAGTCCTTAGCTAGTTCTCTGCCTCAACTTGTGAGCCACACTACCTTGTGGGACACCAACCCATGGAAGGTGTCACTAGAGCTTGAGGTTCCTTTGAGACCTGTTTCACCATGCTGTTGGTGTGTACATCACTTGAGCTTGAGGCTGGTGGATTCTGTTGTCTGGCATTGATTGAGTTTGATATCCCATCCAGGCCTGCTTCACTAAGCTCCTGAGCTGCTGGCTGTTGGTGACCCTCCCTGCTGTTTGATGCCTGTGAACAGACTGCCTGCATTTTCCAAAGGAAAATTCAGCTTTCTTGACCTTGGACCCAGCCACCCTCATGAGTTAAACTCAGCCCTCTGTAATGTTGTGTGGACTAATTAGGTGTTATATTCCTTCGTGCTATATAAATCTATCCATATATATAAAATCATATGTGTCCTGGTCTTCTGTACACCTGCCTGAGACACCCTGAGATTATTACTCTAAGTCAATCTTCCAATGTGGAACTGAAGCTACTCCTGAAGACTACCTCTCAACCAAATAATAGACTAGCCAGTGATGTGAACAATAATACCTGTAAGGAATGTGTTTCTTAGACCAATCAACCATGCTAGACCAAAAAGTCAACATCTACCCAAAATCAAAGACAGGAAGGCAGAAAGGGGAAGGAAACCAGATAAACAGAAATGGGGAAACTGGAGTCCAATGAAGAGAGTGCTGATACAAATTTGTGCATAATTATTGAATGGAAAACTATTTTGTTATGCAAATCTTCACTTAAAGCACAAAATGTTTCATTAATAAATAAATCCAATGGAGAAAAAAATAAGTCAAATGATGTATTGTATTGGGCAAATCTGTTGCACAAGACCTCTTTAAGTGTTGAAGAGCAAAGACATTGAGGTCTAAGGCGCACCTACCCCAAGCTATGGTACTTGCAATGATCTCATATGCATGTGAAAATTGCACAATGAATTAGGAAGACCAAAGAAAAATTTATGCATTTGAATTATGGTGTTGGTGAAGAACATTGAAAGTACTGTGGACTGTCAGAACAAAAAAGTCTGTCTTAAAAGAAGTACAGTTACAAAAAACAAAGGGTCCTTTATTAGAATAATCTCATATTTCACATCAGAAACCACACAGGCAAAAAGGCAATGGAGTGATATATACAGAGTCTTTGAGGGAGAAAAAAAAAACTGTCGACTTAAAATCTTGTACCCAGCAAAAATATCACTCAATTATGATATAGAAATTAAAGTATTCCAAGACAAGGAGAAATTAAAGGAATTCACAAAAACAAGAACACTACTCAAAAACAAAACAAAACAAAAACGACTCAATGAAGTACTATGGCCCCCAAATCAACAACAATTCATAGTAATGCTATGTGACAGAACAAAATTGCTTCCTATGGTTTCTGAGACTATAAATCTTTACAGGAACAAGCAGCTTGATATTTTTCCCCTAGGAGTGCCTGGTGTGTTTTTATTTCTGACTTTGTAGTTCACAGTCTAACTTGTAACCTATTGTCCCACCAAGGCTCCTGTGCAAAAGTTAAGGTTATGGAAATATGATAATATGCTGCCTCTGGAAAGTATTGTTAAGTTAGATTATAACATTTTCAGAACTTACTTTGATAATTCTCATGATAAATAAGCACTCATATAAATTTAATAGTCCACATATTTCTAGGAAGTAATGCAGGTAAATTTGTTTTGACAATTATTTTTATATCCTGCAAGATGTTAACTATAGAAACCACAACCGGAACTGTGTGTGACCTCCTCCCTGCGGGACAGACAACCGAAAAGTGGATGAAGGGAGACGTCGGACAGGGCAAGATATGACAAAATACCCATTTGTAAACTATCAAGGGCTCATGCGGGAGGGGGGAGCGGGGAGGGAGGGGAAAAATGAGGACCTAATGTCGGGGGGTTAAATGGAGAGAAAATGTTTTGAGAAACGATGTACAAATGCGCTTTACACAATTGATGTGTGTATGGATTGGGATAACAGTTGTATGAGCCCCTAATAAAATGTTAAAAAAGAGAAAAAAAAATAGAAACCACAACCTTTTAAAAGTAATTTACACTAAATTGAATATATGAGTGGGCCTCAAAAAGTACATGGAAACAGGCCATTATGTTTTCATTCAATTTTTCCACCAAGTTTTTGAAGCACCATTGTATAGAATGTTTCATAAGGGCCCAAAAATATGAAATGGGAAGCAGATGCCCTCTTCAACACGTGGTGCTGGAAAAAATGGGTATATACCTGCAGAAAAATATAGTATTTTTTTCTTAACATGAAAGAGACTATTTGTTCTGAGGTGAGGAAGAAGAAATAATAATTTAGATAGTTATGAAAGAAAAGTAGTGAAAGGTCAGAGAAATTAAAATTTTAAAATATTTTTAAACCTATGCTACAGAAGTAGATATGCATATGTAGTTGTGTTAGACTGTGCTGACGAGAGAAACAAATCCTGTAACACTCGATATATGCATAAGAAAGAGCTATATTTCGAGGAGTAATCAAGAAAGCATCCCAGCCCAGTACCACTCAAGTCCATAAATCCAATACTAATACATAAGTCCTTCTTCAGACTCAAACAGTCAGTGGTGCAGAATGCAAGATCACAGACCAGTGAAGGCATAATTGTGTGGATTCAAGGTTGCTGGAAACATGACCGAGTTCCTTCAGCTTCAGGGTGTCCAGCAAGCAGGTGAAGTGCGAGAGACAGAGAGGATGCGCCCAGGTCCCTGCCTATATGAAGGCCACATTCCCAAAGACACAGGATCAGGCTGTCCTGATCGACAGGTTTGACTCCACCCCTAGCCAGTAGTGTCTAGATGACATAAAATCACCTGACTACCACAATAGTATACTTAAATCTAATACTGAATGTTTGGCATTGTGAAGATTATGCTATAAGGAATATGCCACACAGAAGAGATATTTCAAAAGTTTTTCAAAGAGTTTGTTTGAAAATACCAGCATCATTCTTCAAAGAAATGGAAAAACTGACTACCAACTTCATATGGAAAGGGAAGAAACCCCCAAATTGGCTAAGAACTCCTCAAGAAAAAGAATAAAGTGGGTGGGCTTGCATTACCAGACTTTAAAATGTATTATACAGCCACAGTTGTCCAAGCAGCATGGTACTGGTATAATGATAGATACTCAGACCAATGTATAAGAACAGAAAACCCAGAAATAAAATCATCAGCATACAGACAAGTGATCTTTCATAAGGGCCCAAAAATATAAAATGGGAAGCAGATGCCCTCTTCAACACGTGGTGCTGGAAAAAATGGGTATATACCTACAGAAAAATGAA